GGAAGCCTGAGGCTTCCGGTTTCCCCCCGCCATTTTTTTTAAAAAACAGAGCGATATGCGCTTGGGCGAAGTTTCGCCCTGAGCATTTGTTAAAAAAAAAAAATCCCTTACTTTACCTATCCGGAGGAGTCCGGGACTTAAGGGAGGCCAGTTTGGGCTTTAAACTTTAAAGGTAAGTCCTTAAAAAAAAAACACGCCGATGCCCGCAGCGTGTGACCGGGCGTACAACGATGGGAACTGCAAAATGGAGGTAAGTGTGATCGCGTTTATGCCGGCAGAAAGCCCCCGTCTGAACGCACCCTTTATGTCAGCCACACACACGCTCCTGAACTGCATTAGACTGAGGCAACATGCAGAGGGGAGGGCAGAGTCCATAAAAAGATGAGAAACAACACAACCATGCTGGATTAGACAAAAGGGTCATTTCTTCCACTATTTCACTTCCCACAATGGCCAACCCCATGCCCTAGATAGCCCACAAGCAAAGGCACAAAAGGCAAAGCCTCTCCCAATTGCTGTTCCTCCCAGCAACTGCCATTCAAAGACATACTGCCTCCGAATATGGAACTTCAATTTAGTCATGACCAGTACTCATTGTGGGACCTATCCTTGTGTATATCTAATCCTTTTAAAATCTAATATGTAATCCCACCTGAAACTAACTCTCTTTTTGTGGTGTATTCAACTCAATGGAAAACTGTGTTTGTACTCACTAATCGAAACACCATGTATAGCTTTGTCCTGGGCAAGGATCCTAATCTTGCAATCCCTATTGGTAGCCCAGGAAGAGCCGACCAATCACCTACCATCAAGTTCCCTGAGAGGGAACGTCTGTGATTGGACATTATTGTCACAATCCTATTGGTTGTTATGTACAGTAAGGCGTGGCTACATTAGGCTGGGAGAGTTTAAAAGAAGCCCAGCTGCAATGCAAAGTTGTTCTGGTTGCTCTGTTCTGGTTGCTCTGTTCTGGTTGCGTTCATTAAAGCTGAATCACTTGCTGAAATCACTCTCTGACTCTTTGTTAAGTAGTCGACTTAACACTTTTAAATAGCTATTGCTCCATCCTGTGGCAGCATGTTCCACAAGATAAGGGTGCACTGTGTGAAGCTCTTGACTTTGCGCAATAACTCCAGAGAAGTTAGCTGTGCTTGCCTTTTGCAGAACAAAAAGTAAGAAAGTATCTTAGCACCTCACACCCCAAAAGAGATTAATCTTTAGGATGCCCTGAGACTACTACTTATTTTTGTCTATACTGTCCATCAGATTCACTGGGTATGTTCTCTTTTTGAGACAGGGAGAATTTTCTATCTAGCCAGTAGTTTAAATAGGAAAGGTTTTTAAAGAAGCTTCTATAGAATATTGTCTAAGTTAACCCCCCCAACCTTAAATTTGTAAATTCTTATGAAATTGATTTACTTTTCAACAGAGTGCCTATGTCTGTGTTCCTTTGCACACTCACTGAAAAGCCACCGCTGCTGCTGTTTAAACCGCCACCCCACCCCAACCCATGTGCAACTGGCACAGGGTAGTGGGTGGCCAAGAGAGAGCTCACCCAGCAGCAAGCCCTCTCCCTCTCCAGCGGGGATGCGGAGGCGGTGGTGGCACACAGGGGATAGCCTGCGGCTGGGCAGGAGATGATGAGATGCCACCGTGGCGGGGAAGGCGAGCTGCTCCTGAGCCAGGGGTGCCGAGGGACATGTTGCTGCGGTGTCTTTTGCTACGGCCAGCCTAATTTGGGAGTGGCCAGCAGAGAAGGGAAGCAAGAGCAGAATCCGAGCGCTGGGGAGAGTGGCAGCCCTGCAGGAGGGCGCCACCCAGGAGTAGCCTGAGCGCACCGGCGACCTCGCTGCCATGTGGGTGGGCTGTGCATGGCTCGCTTAGTCCTGGCCAGCCAGCCAATGGCCTCGCCCACTTCGACAAGCAGGCCTGGCCCACACTGCAGAGGGGAAGGAGGGTGCCCAGGGCCTTCCCAGATCCATGCACCTACCCCGCATGCACACACCCACCCCACCTGCCTTCCTTGACATCGCCAGCCGCAGCAGGTCCTCAAGGGCTGCCAGGCCACCAGGGCCTTCCCACACCCACCCAACTCCCGCCTGCCTCCTCTGACAGTGCCGGCTAAGTTACCTTGCCTGAGGAACCGACACAGTGCCCTTTTGGCGGGGAGGTGTGGCGGAGCAGCAGTGGGTGTCAACGGGACAAGCATGTGCTCTGATGCTTGTTGCCTCCGCCACTGCTTCTTTTTCCAAGGGCAGGGTGGAGCAGGGGCGAGGGGGGGAAGGAGGGCTCGGAAGCCAGCCGGAACGCTGTTCCAAGGCATTCCGCCCCCAAAATAGCCCATTTCAAGTCTTCCAAACTTCTTAAAGTACAGAGATGGCCTTGGACGCCCTGATAGATGTCCCATCCCTGCTGATTTTGTTACATGTCTCAGTGGCTTTTAATACTGGGAAATTAGGTTAATTTTTCACCATCTTCAATATTCTATTGAAGACATGGGTCTTGGATTTTCCTTTTTATCAATGCATACACATAGGATGACCACTAGAAATGCAACCTCAGCCTCTTGGAAGCTTAACTGGAGTGTTCAGTAGGTTTCAGTGTTAACACTGATTTTAAGGATAAGGATACAGTACAGGAACCTTGACCAGGTACTTTTTGTCTTCTGCCAATAATACACAAGCTTGGCAACCCAGCATGCCCTATTGTCTCAGGCACAGGCACTATCACAGTAGTGGTGTCCAGGTACATGGACTCTATTTACAGAGGCAATAACTTGTGTGTGTGTGTGTGACACCACAGACACAATAATCTGTTAATACTCTTCCAGGAAACATTATTTTGGCCACTATGGATGTTAGCCACTAGATACCAACATCCCCCACAAAGGGGGGATGACATTAAAAACACTGTGAGAATACCACAGCTAATATCGCCACCAAGTTCTGAGATTTTGTCTTCACCCACAACTACTTCAGATCTGTCCAGGTGGGCAGTCGTATTGGTCTGAAGTAGTAGAACAAATTTTGAATCCAGCAGCACCTTTAAGACCAACAAAGGTTTATTCAAGGTATGAACTTTCGTTGTTAGCTTCCATTTCAATGTATCTGAAGAAGTATGTGTGCACATGAAAACTCATACCTTGAATAAACTTTTGTTGGTCTTAAAGGTGTTACTGGACTCAAAATTTGTTCTACTACTTCAGAATTGGTAATGATTTATTCTTTCAGGTCAATGGCACAGTCATGGGCACCTGCATGCCACCACGGTATGACAACATTTTCACGGCTGACTTAGAGCAGTGGTTCTTAAACTCCTACCATTAACACATCTCCTTCATTTGAGATTTTTTGAATGGCATTTTTATCATCTGGACACATGAGAAAAAAGCCCTTGAGAAATTAAATCAGGCCATCAGTAACTTTCATCCCACCATCAAGCTGACCATGAATCAATCTACACAAGAAATGCATTTTCTAGATACTACTACAGGGCTCTTTTTGTAGAGAAAGCCCAGCAGGAACTCATTAGCAAAATAGGCCACACCCAACAGCAGATACTCATTAGCATATTAGGCCACACCCCTGATAGCACAGCTCATTAGCATATTAGGCCATACCCCCATGTTGCCAGAAGTGTGGTCATCGCCTCACACACGGCCACGTTGTACCTGATGCACTCCCACACCAAATACTTTCCTCTAGGGTTACCATTTTTTGAAAAGCAAAAAAAAGACATATCTCCTGACTACTTCAAACAAGTGATCAGTTTGGCAGATCTCATTTTAAATACCCTACTATTTAAGCTGTGATCATTGCTACTCACAAGGAATATTCCTTATCTTCCAACCCTAAAAGAGGGAATTTTCATCCGTGTTTTAAGAGCTCAAAAGAGGAGAGGCAACTCCACACCACGCAGAGAGACACATTTACAGAGAAAGCCCTGGCCCTATTCTCATAGGAACATAGGAACAGAGAAGCCATGTTGGATCAGGCCAATGGCCCATCCAATCCAATACTCTGTGGCACACAGTGGCCAAAACCCAGGGACCACCAGGAGGTCCACCAGCGGGTCCAGGACTCCAGAAGCCCTCTCACTGTGGCTCCCCACGCACCAAGAAGACAGAGCATCACATAAGAACATAAGAGAAGCCATGTTGGATCAGGCCAGTGGCCCATCCAGTCCAACACTCTGTGCCACACAGTGGCCAAACCCCAGGGGCCACCAGGAGGTCCACCAGCGGGGCCAGGACTCCAGAAGGCCTCCCATTGTTGTCCCCCAAGCACGAAGAATACAGAACATCACTATCCTAGACAGAGTGTTCCATCTATACCTTGTGGCTAACAGCCACTGATGGACCTCTGCTCCACATAAGAACAGAGAAGCCATGTTGGATCAGGCCAATGGCCCATCCAATCCAACACTCTGTGCCACACATTGGCCAAACCCCAGGGGCCACCAGGAGGTCCACCAGCAGGGCCAGGACTCCAGAAGCCCTCCCACTGTGGCTCCCCATGCACCAAGAAGTCAGGACATCACATAAAAACATAAGAGAAGCCATGTTGGATCAGGTCAGGGGCCCATCCAGTCCAACTCTCTGTGTCACACAGGGGCCCAAACCCAGGTGCCATCAGAAGGTTTACCAGCGGGCCCAGGACTCCAGAAGCCCTCCCACGCTTGCCCCCCCCAAGCACCAAGAAGACAGAGCCCCACTGGCCCAGACGTAAGAACACAAGAGAAGGCACGTTGGATCAGGCGGCCAGTGGCCCATCCAGTCCAACTCTCTGTGTCACACAGGGGCCCAAACCCAGGTGCCATCAGAAGGTTTACCAGCGGGCCCAGGACTCCAGAAGCCCTCTGATTGTTGCTCCCCCAAGCACCAAGAAGACAGAGCCCCACTGCCCAGCGAGCGGTGGGTTCCGTCGCCCTGCCATCAAGGGGGCCACCGACTGACCTGGTCTCTGCCGGATGTGCCTTTTCCTGCTGCTGCAGAAACAGACCTTGCTTAAGATGCCGAGGATGTGTCTCTCACAGAGGGGGTGGGCATCCTTGCTGGAGCCGGTGCAGCGCTTGGAGGCCAAGACGCAGTTGCTGTTGGACTTGCATGCCTGCCGCTTCTGCTGGATCAGTGAGCTAGCGATGGCCGTGGCCATGGCTGCATGGATGGGGTGGTCAGCAGTTACAGGCTGCTAGCCGGTGGCGGTGCCACCGCCTCATGATGGGCCCCCATTGGGGCAGGTGGCAGAAGCCCCCAGGCCCGGCAAGACTTTTGCCCAGCCCCCTTCTGCCCCCCAACCTAGAAGCCAGGGGGCAAAGACGTCTCAGCCTCCCTTCCTCGTAGGTCCGACGGAGGGCTCTGCGGGCTGGCCCGCCAGGCAGCCTGCTAGGCAGGTGGGCGCTCACCTCATCCGGCATTCCGGGGCCAGTTGGCAGGTTCGCTCCAAGCCGGCCCATCCAACGCAAGGCTTTTTGCGAAGTGGCGGGCGGTGGTCCTCAGAGGGAAAAAGCAGCAGCAGTGAAACAATTGTGACCAGCAGTGGTGGCCCGATTCAGGATACCCACACAAGGCACAGGGCCCAGTGGCAGCAGCATCTTGGTCCGACAGGGTGGCGTCTGGTGCCCCCAGCTGTCCCCAGAGGTCTCCTGGTGGGGCGGTGAAGGGGAAGGAGGCGTCATGCCAAGGTCCGTGGCCAGGCCAGCCCTCATGGACCCCCGCCTGGCCCCCTCACATCCTGTGCCTGCCTGCCTGCCTCCCCTCCCATCCCGCTCTCTCTCTCTCTTCCCTGCCTTCCTTCCTCCCCCCGGCAGTAGGAGCGGCAGCCGCCACAGCAGAAGCCAGGATCCCCTGAGCCACGGCTGTGTGAGAGCAGCACATGGCGGCTGCTTCATCTGGGTGAGCTTTTGGCGAGGGAGGGGTGGGGAGGGCTCGGAAGCCAGCTGGAAGGCCGTTCCGGTGCATTCTGTCCCAAAAATAGCCCTGCTACTGCACAAATATATGATGGGTATATAAACAGCATCTTGTACTGGAAACCTATAGCTTGCCAAACATATCTACATGCCTCCAGATATTATCCTAAACACATCAAACACATCCTAAACACATCCTAAACACATCCTAAAACATCCTAAAAACATCAAAAAACATCAAACAATCCATTGTCTATAGCTAAGTTCTACACTACAGCCACATCTGTTCCAGTCCCTCTGACAGAGATTCTCACCTAAGGAATCTATAATAGACATTTATGGAATTACAATGTCTGTCTGATGTACTCAGGAAACAGACTGACATGGTACCCAGAGATAACGTGCTATAAGATATGGCCCAAACAAAGCAACAATAGAACACCACTGGGGTCACATACAGCTCACAACTCAAACCAATTCAAAGCATGATTAATGACTTACAGCCTATGCTGGATAATGAGAAACATTTCTATGTTACTGGAATAATCCCTTGATTTTTGTGCTCAGCATGAACCAGCAGCAGGAGACAATACTTATCCCTCCATTTTCTCTAGTACTTTAGTGATTTCATGCAGTGAAAGAAAATGTTCCTAGATCAACTGGATCTCAGGACAACCCTCCTCCTTCAAGTAGAGACCCAAGACAGTTCTTATCTGCATATCTTCATAATTCCCATCCAAGGTTTGAGGAAAACTGTCACGTGAAAATGTTTATGTCATGCATACAGTTCATATCATAAGAACATAAGAGACCATAAGAACATAAGAGAAGCCAGTGTTGGATCAGGCCAAAGGCCCATCCAGTTCAACACTCTGTGTCACACAGTGGCCAAAAATACCAGGTGCCACCAGGAGGTCCAGCAGTGGAGCCAGGACACTAGAAGTCCTCCCACTGTTGCCCTCCACCCTCCAAGCACCAAGAATACAGAGCATCCCTGTATGAAGAAACCATTACAAAGTTTATAACATGAAAAACACATACAATATTGTAGTAAGGATTTCTTTAAAGGTACAAACCAAAATTTGGTCCTTATACCATGTACCCCATAATACACCACCAAAATACTCTAGGCTTGTATAAAAAACGTTGGAGAGAATAAGAGAAGATTACATTCCTTATGGGCATCCAGACATGTGCTTAGAGATTTCCTTTCTTTCACTTAGCTCAGGGATTCCCAACGTGGTGCTTGTTGGTGCCAAAGAGCCCACTGACACCTTTTCTGGTGCCCACTAAGTGTTTTTGAAAGTGGGTGGAGCCACTTGCCTAGCAGGGCTTCAGATTGGCTGCTGGAGATCTGATTGGCTGTGCAGATTAAATAACACTGTTTTAGTGACAGCTGCCACCACAGTATTGGTTTTATTATCTTTCACTCCTTTTTCCCAGTGTATTTTTTAAATTACTCCCTTTCCCCCTGCACCTCTGTTTCCTCTCTGTTTCCTCTCTGTATCAGACATTTTGTGGCTGGCTTCAGTTCCTGTGGCAGCCATTTTGTGGTTGTGGCCTACTACCACGTGTCACAATTCCAAAGGTACCCACAGGGTCAAAAAGTTTGGGCACCTCTGACTTAGTGACAGAAACAAATGAGTGCAACCAATTTGTACCATGGAAACCACAATTCAGCCTTCCTCCTTGTCTAGCAGAACCCCCCAAAAAGGGATAAATCAGGAAGGTGGGTCTCTAACCAAACAAATAAACAAAGTAATACCATCTTTTACTGGGCCCACCATGTTCCTTTTACGTAGGGCATTGTTGTGGCTGTACATGGAATAAGGCTCAGTTGGAACTGCCTTGGGTTGCCCTAAACTCACTGACTCCTGACTTTCAGTCACCTCTGCAAAATGAGGTAGGAATTGGATGCTATGATGCTGAACAGTTCCTGTCAGAAAAACCTGGTCCACCAAGAACAACATAGCATTATGTTTTGGTCTCCCCACTGCCACCACTTTCCCTGTACTTTACAGGAGCCTTGTTTCTCAGCATGCTCTCCATCTGGAACTTGTGTTCTGCCCTCCTTCATTTATTACTCACCTGAAATTGTGTTCCTGGTCCTGATGTCTCTGCTCCTCGACTTGATCTAGCTTAATTCTGGATACAGTTATGCCTCCAATTCGTCATAGCTCTTCACTATATCTGCCTCTACAAAGACTGTAAGACCAGCTTCCAAAGCCCAGACATACCAACCATAAATAGTTTTTCAAACATATAAAAAAGTTCTAAAACACATAACAGAAATTCACATCATCATACTGAAGATGAATCTCACAATAATACAACATCTGATTTTAATATGGACCCTGGTACTAGAGCTTGCAATAAACTCAGATGCCAACTTTGCTGCCACAGACACTCAGACAACACAATCACTGGACCTAACAACATCAACTACACCATCTCAGGCTTATTCACATGCTCATCTTCTAACATTGTATATGCCATTAAATGCCTACAATGCCCTTCAGTTCACTATGTAGGGAAAACGGGTCCTATGCCAAAGGAAAAATGGACACAAATCTGTCATCAAGAACCACAGAACTGAGAAACCTGTAGGAGAACATTTCAACCTCCCAAGGCACTCATCGGGGGACCTCAAAGTATATGTTTTACTGCAAAGGAAATTCAGAAACAGACTGGAGTGGGAGATTGCTGAATTACAAGTTATTACAACACTCAGGACAATGGAACCCCCAGGGCTTAACAGAGATAACAGGGTCTTATCTTACTATTCACATGATACGTTACTCAGTTTTCACTTATACCCAAAATTAAACTTTGTTAGTCTTAAAGGTGTCACTGGATTCAAACATAGTTCTTACGTCTGTTTTTAACTCTTTTATTTTATTCACAGACCTTACCAACTGCGTTATTATCTTAGCTGTACTTATGCATCTTGGCTCTAATTAGCCCTTTCTGGGAACTAGCCCCCACCCCCTATATGTGGCACATGAGGAAATATGTTTCAATGTGTCTGGGGAGGTGTGCATCCACACGTGCTGAGTCTCTCAGTTCTCGCTTGTGCCCAGAATTGAACTTTGTTGGTCTTGGAGGTGCCACTGGACTCAAATTTGTTCTCACATCTATTTGTTAACTCTTGTATTTGTATGCTAATTTGCTGCCATTCACAGGTCTTAACAACTCCTTTAATCCAATCTCAGCCATACTTATCGCCCAGTTACTTAAGTCATACCTCTCTAGGAATCACCAGAAGCTCTAAAGTAGAAACACAAACTTTTTGGGGATTCCTACAGAGGACTGTAAAAATGCCATAACCAACAGCAATTTTTAAAAATATCTGTCTCTTCCCAGCTGCTGGAGTGCCAGTAGACAAGGTCCACTGGAGGTGGGAGATCTATCACCCCCATAGGGTTGCAAGCTCTGGGTTGGGAAATAACTGGAGGTTTGGGGGGTGAAGCCTAAGGACGGCAGAGTTTGGAGAAGGGAGGGACTTCAATGAGATATAATTCCATAGAGTCCACCTTCCAAAGTGGCTATTTTCCCCAGGTGAACTGCTCTCTGCCACCTGAAGATCAGTTGTAATAGCTTCCAGGTGAGCTTCAAGGGAAGGCCTGTGTAAGCGAGTTACTGTAGTCTATCCTAGAGAGGACTGTTGCATGGAGTACCATGGCTAGGTCAGAGCGGGACAGATAGGGAGCCAGTTGCCGAACCTGGCACAGATGGAGAAATGCCAGCCTGGCAACCTTTGCAACCTGGGCCTACATTGACAAAGTGGCATCCAGAGTCACGCCCAGGTTCCTGACGATCAGTGCTGGTGAAAGGGCTGGGAGTTGGCAACCCAACCAAGAGCTGGGAGTTGGCAACCCAACCATGGCCCACCCCCACCCAGCCACAGAACCTCTGTCTTACCTGGATTCAGCTTCAGCTGATTCTGCTTTAACCATCCCACCATAACCTTCAACCCCTGCCTAAATTCATGGGAACGGAGTTGAACTGGCCACCCATCAACAGAAATAACTAGGTGTCATCAGCATACTGATGGCACCCCAGTCTGAAACTCTGTGCCAGCTGGGCAAGGGGGCACATATAGACAGGGGAGAGGAATGCCTCCTGAAGAACCCTGCATAACAGCAGGTGCTTCGGGGATACTTCCCCTCCCAGCACCACCCTCTGTCCCCACAATATGAGATCTTTATAGAACAATCACAATACGAGATCTTTATGGAAGCATTAA